AACAATTAAAATACTTCATAGTTTCATAGTTTGTAGGGTCAGAAGGGACCTTGACATCATCAAGTCCAACCCCCTGCCATGGCAGGAAAGAGCACTGGGGTCAAACGACCCCAGCAAGGTGTTCATCTAGCTTCCTCTTAAAGACCCCCAGGGTAGGAGCCAGCACTACTTTTCTTGGAAGTTGGTTCCAGATCCTAGCCGCCCTGACTATGAAGTAGCGCCTCCTGATGTCTAGTCTAAGATTTGATGCAGACTTCTGGCAGATTCATTAGTAGAGCAGGCCAACATTTGTGTGAGCATTCTAGTACCAACATGTGACAGGAATTAAACTCTTTAAGGTAATTCCAAAACCACTTGTGTTTAAATATGAGAGTGTAGAATGTAGTCTAATGAAACGTTTTTGGCCCAAACAAGACTACATTGAGCATTTCATAAATGTACTTTAAACCAAACAAGATGTCTGGATGGGAACTTAAGTTAAACACCAAACAGTTAAAAATCTATTAACTTTGTATTCTTTTAAAAATATTCCTTTTATGATTAGCAAATAATTTGATGTAGGTGGTGAAATGCACTGTGTCCAGTGAAAAAAAATGCATAATACCATTTCCATGTTTTTCTCTGATTTAAACAATAATTAGCCCTTAGTGATGTGCAAAGTTGATTTTGGTGGGTCTACAGGCAGTAAGTGCTCTTTGCTGGAGCCCACTATATGTACTGGAGGGAGCACAAAGAAGAGCACCAAAAAATTTGGTAGATCAACAAGGTTACATTTTGTATGCTTATGGTGTTATAAATTTTGCTTTGTATGATACAGGCACATTTCTAAGCACCTATATGCATGGGCGGTTGGTGCCGCCTTAGTTGGGGGGGCATGTCCCCCCCCCACCAGTTCTGCTGACCGGGGGGGTCCCCCTGCAGCTGATCTTGCTGCCCGGGGGGGGCAATCTCTGCAGCCACTTCTACGAGCGGCTGTAGTGATTGGCTAGCACTTGCGGGGGGGCACTGGCACTCCTACCTGCCCCCCTTGCCCATGGCCTAAGTGGTGAGCCTGTCCGGTCAGGAGGTGCACCGGCGCTCTTGGAGTGCATGTTCACCCCCATGCACCCTCTACGCGTTGCACTGCCAATAGAAGGTGATCGGGAACAGCCAAAATGGATTGAGAGACATGTATGATGGAGGTGGGCATGGAAAGCATGCTGTCCAAATTCGCTGATGACACAAAGATGTGGGGAGAAGTGGGCACACTGGAGGGGAGGGCCAGAATCCAACTAGATCTAGACAGGTTACAGAGGTGGGCGGATGAGAATAGCATGGAATTCAACGCAGACAAGTGCAAGGTACTGCATCTAGGGAGAAGGAACCTGCAACATACCTATAGGATAGAGCACACCCTTCTCAACAACAGTTGTTGAGAGGGATCGTGGAGTCATCGTTGACTCCAGGATGGACATGAGCCGCCAATGTGAGGAAGTGGTCAGTAAGCCTAGCCACACCTTGTCATGCATCTATAGATGCATCACAAGCAGATCTAGGGAGTTGATCCTTCCCTTCTATGCAGTGCTGGTCAGGCCGCAGTTGGAGTACTGCGTCCAGTTCTGGGTGCCACACTTTAAGAGGAATGAGGCTAACCTTGAGAGGGTCCAAAGGAGGGCCACTCTCATAGTCAGGGGGCAGTAGGCCAGGCCCTATGAAGATAGACTAAAGGACCTGAATCTATTCAGCCTCTGCAAGAGAAGACTAAGAGGCTGCCTATAAACTCACCAGGGGGGACCAGCAGACAGTAGGTGAGGCTGTGTTCCCCTGGGCACCACCTGGGATAACAAGGAATAACAGACACAAATTGATTGAGAGTAGGTTCAGGCTTGATATCAGGAGGCTTTACTTTATGGTTAGGGCTACTAGGTTTTGGAATGGGCTCCCAAGGGAGGTGGTGACTCCCCTACCTTGGGGGTTTTCAAGAGGAGGTTGGATATATATCTGACTGGGGTATTATGATCCTAGCACTCGTTCCTGCCCACGGCAGGGGCTCAGACTTGATGATCTGTTCAGGTCCCTTCCAACCCTAGAAACTATGAAACTATGAACTCATTTTCTTCTATGAGAAAGTGACAGGCTCTATGGATGAGGGAGAGTAGTGGATATGATATACCTTGATTTTAGCAAGGCATATTTTGATGCTGTCTCCCATGACATTCTTATTAGTAAGCTGAAAAATACAGTCTAGAATGGAACTTCTATAAGGTGGATAAATTGGTTGGATAATTAGTTGGATTGTTGTGCTCAAAAAGTAGTCCTCAGTGACTTGATATTTAGTTGGGAGGAGTTATTAAGTAGGGTTTCAAGGATCTGTCCTGGGTCTGGTAGTGTTTAATATCTTCATTAATAATTTGGAAGGTGGGATTTAATGTACACTTAGCAAATTTGCAGAGGACACCAAACTGAGCGGAGTTGCAGACACTATGGAAGATGGGATTAGTATTCAGAAGATCCAGACTTAAACTGAAGATAAGGTCCAAAATTAATCAAATCAAATTTGAAGTTTTATGCTTCTGACCGAGCAATTGCAAGCATAAACACAAATGGGAATGTTTGGCTAGGCCACAGGGGTTGGTAAACTACAGCCCATAGACCCGTCCCAGCCTACAGAGCCATTTCGTCTGGCCCATAGACATGAGACTTCAGTGGTGTTCAGTGGTGGGAGGCTCTGTCTGTGCTATGGGAAGAAGTGGTGATGGCACCCAGGTCCTCATGTTTGCTTATCTGTGTCTGATCCAAGTTGGGTCATTGTTGCCCATTACCTGAAAAGGTGGTCAATTTGCTGGGCTAGGCTGCAGTACTGAAGAAAAGGACCTGGAGTTTTATAGCAGATTGTAAGCTGAATATAAACAATAACAGCACACTCTCATCTTTAAAAAATCCAATAGCTTGCTGAGCTGTATTAACATGAATGCCACTTGCAAGTCAAGGGCAGTGATTATTCCATTTTATTTGGCACTGGTGAGACTTCATCTGGAGTGCTGTGTCCAGTTTTGGGCACCATACTTCAAGGAAGATGTGGGCAAATTAGAGTCCAGTGGAGAACAACAAAAATGATTAGAGGTCTGAGAAAAATAATTTACAAGGAAAGGCTGGAACTGAACTGAACTGAACTGCGCTTATTTAATCTGGAGAAGAGACGACTGAGGGGGAATTTAGTCTTCAAATACCTGAAGGTTGATTCTGAAGGCTGATTTATAAAAAGGATGATGATAGACTAGGTGTGTCAAACTAATTCTGGACTGTGTCTAGACTGTGGTGCTTGTTGGATCTAGCCTGGGCTATGGCACAGACAGTGGCTGAACCAGCATGACTGGCACACACGGTGGTTGAGACAGTGGGACTGGCAGCAGAGAGTGCGTAGATAGCAATGGGCCAAGCAGCCTCAGGGTGAGCAGGGCTGTCTCAGTACAGCCTGAACATGCCCTCTTGCTGCTGGAAGCCATGCCTACTGTGGCCTAGTGGCTGCTGTTTTTTGGGGGGTTTTTGTAGCAGACCATGGCCCCCATCTCTCAGTAGCCCAGTAGGTCTAAGGAAATTGCTCCATGGGCTGGATGTTTGACAAACCTGTGATAGACTGTTCTGTATGGCTACAAGCAGCAGGACAAGGAGCAATGCCCTCAAACTACAGAAGAGGAAATATAGGGTAAATATTAGGGAAGTTTAGGTTAGATATTAAGAAAAACATTTTCACTAGGAGGGTAGTGAAGCACTGGAACAAGCTACTCGGAAGTTGTGGAATCTCCATCCTTGAAGTTTTTAAGACCAAGGTAGACCAAGACCCAGCCTTGGCTGGGATGATATAGTTGGGATGGTCCTGCTTTGAGCATGGGTTGGACAAGATGACCTCCTGAGGTCCCTTCTAATCCTAATATTCTATTATTCTGTGATTAGGAAGATTTTTCTCACTATGAGGGTACTTAAGCATTCAAACAGGCCATCCAAAAAGGTGGAATCTCTATCCTTGAACTTTTTAAAGAGCAGGTTGAACAAAAACCTGGTTGGGATGATTTAATCAGTGATGATCCAGCCTTGAGCAGGAGGTTGAACTAGGTGATCTCCGGAGGTCCGTTCCAGCCTTATGACACATTTAAAAATGAGATTTGGTTTGCTCATGCACTTTAATGGATAAGCTACCAAGTGAGTTAGTTATTTGTATTGAAATGTGGCCCCTAGGCAAGGTGAACTAGAAGAGTTCACACTGGTTTGCAGACCAGCCTAGGGAAGATGAAGGTTGTAGGCCATGCTGGCGCACTAGCTAGTACAAGCATTAATTAGCACATGTACTACTCTCATTTGCTAAGGCATTGACCAGTATGGGCCTCAATAGAGCAGTGACTGACACAACTGCTTATACAAGCTGAAGCTGGAATTCACATGTGAGACTCGTACAAGAACACAAAATGATACAAAATGCACAGTTCTGCCAAGAAAGGGAACCAGGTGCATCAAGCATGGGACAGTTTTTAATATTTTTCCTATACAGATAAAGAAAGAGCAGAAACATATAAATATATGACAGATACAGGGCAGCTTGAGGTACCAATGGAACATAATATGCAGTGGATTGATCTATATAAAAGGGGAAATGGGAAGCTTGGAATTTTTATACTGGCCTGGGGACGTAGTTTTTGCTAATACCTTGACGCAGGAAAGCATAGGTTCATGAGAGGGAGTGTACCATGGCTTGCAGACAGTAAAAGTCTCTGCATCTTCATCATTGAACAACCTGTAGTCTGTCTTTGTGTATGCTGTGATCTTCATACACTGGAGTCAGAAATGAATAAACACTGACTGAATACACATATGAAATACAACAGGATGAGCATGAAGAGTACCTATCATGTCATTTTTCTGGTTCTCCATGTTTTCTGCACTTTCGGTAACTAATTGGTTACTCACTATGGAGCTTGCTAACAAATTGGGGCACTCTAACAGAAGGTTTTTAACCTATTTTTCAGATTTTAGTTCGTAAACTTCCTGATGGCAGAGAACTCCGGGGGAAGATAGTGGAAACAGAGGCTTATCTGGGTGGGGAAGATGAGGCTTCACATTCAAAAGGTGGGAAGCAAACTCCAAGAAATGCAGCAATGTTTATGAAGCCAGGAACTCTGTACGTGTATCAGATCTATGGGATCTATTTCTGCATGAACATTTCCAGCCAGGGTAAGTAGAGATTGAAACAGCTGTAGTGTTACTGGCACAAGGAGGTTTTGCAGTGTAAATATTCTTAGCTGTACTTGCCCTGTAGCAGCCTTTGCCCCCTCTGACTTGGTTCTGCTCTTTTTGCTTGTGACCTGATAAATAGAGGCTTTGGCCACTTGAGTTATATAGCCATTAGCAATCTAGAAAATATTAAAAATGGATTACTGGCAGGGTCTGCCTGTACTAGACACTGTACAAACATGTAGTAAGCAGGGTCCTGTGCTTAGCTGTGGCCTCTGGGCAATACTGAGTATAGACAGTAAATTCCACTTTAGAATCTGAAATATTATATTTGCCAAAATTCTTAGGATTCATCCTTCTTAAGATGAATTTTCTCAGTTTTGATGTTCTGGGACACAGTTCAATATGTGGGATTATGTATACTAGTAAATATTCAAGGTGTGGTGCTTTGTAAACATGTTCATGCTGTAATGAGGGCAATGGCAGAATGTTGTGTAGGAGACAGCAGACTTCCTCAAATTAGAAGGAGCTGTTGGCAAATGCAGGGGCCATGAGACAGCAGACAATCTGTGATGAGCAGTCACTACAGACAGAATTCTGTTTCCCTTTGGTAAGGGAAAAGCATAAAACAAGGACCAAACGTGGCCAGATACATGGCTAGAAAACTGCCACACAGACCCAACTGGACAGTAGCAATAAAACATTTTTGGTCCGTTGCTTAACTGTCAGCATTTTGGGGTAATTTGGCACCTTGAATCGGGCAGATCTGTGGGGAGAGGGTGGGGAACAGGAGGGGGGTCGCACCATGTTCAGCTCTGTGGCACATGTGCAACGACTCTTCAAGCTCACTAGCTTGTCAGTGTGGCTCTTACTGGAGCTGCTGCTTTGGCATAACTACAGAACCCAAGGTATGAATACTGCTGCTGCTGCTCACTTCCCTTTTTCCCCTGATGCTAAATTCACTGGTGAGTGAGGAGGTGAACTACAGCAGTGGCATTTACCCCCTCAGTTCTGGAGTCATGGTAACAAGCTAGGGAGCTAGGGCTCCCTTCTGCCTCCCCCCTTGCATGAGTGTCTTGACAGCGGCAGAGTTGGGCGGGGGGGAAGGGAGCCCCCCCCACCTCGCAGGCCTGGCTGCCTGCTGCCTGGCTTGGCTCTTCCCACAAGACCCAGCAGGGGTGGCTGGGGAGCACATAGCAGGGGAGGGCTCTCTACTCCCACTACCTCTCACTTCCATGCTGCGCAGGGAGAAAACGGAGGTTTTCTGTCTCCTTTCTGACATGACCCTGGGGGCAGCCGCAGCACAAGCACCAGTCCAGCCTGCAATGCTGCATGGCATACAGGTGGAATTGGCCAAAATTAACTCTAGCAGGGAACTTGAACACAGGTTCCCTAAGGCGCTTTGCCTTAGAGTGCTCCTGTCTGATGCTTCATCAGACTAGGGTTAAATTTTCATGCGACTGGCCATTTTAAAAGCACCGTGCAACTGTGAATGTTTGCTACGTTATGGCTGTAGAGCACTTCTGGGGACCTCATCATGCAAAAAATGTAACTTCTGTAAATGCCTCAGAACAACAGATGAAATAAAACAACTGGAGCTGACCTCTCATGATCAGTTTTAGAGAGTGTGACATTTTTAAGACTCTTAGCAATGTCAGTAACCTTAAATTCACTTAGTTGTTTTGCCATCATGACTCTATCACTTGAAGCACACTGGGGAGCCAAATGGCTGCTCCAAGGGGTGAGTAGGACAGCAGGCAGGAAGTTTTGTGGAAGTTGAGAAATAAAAGTGGGCACAGTTTCTTTTAGTGAACTGTATATGGCTTTTCATCATTACAGTGAGCAAACCTCTAGAAAGGGCTGAAATCCAGCCCATATGCCATGATCTGTGGAACAATTTGAATTATTTAATACCTTAGGGTGTGTGTAGATGAAATGAGGGGCATGTGTGCACGACACTTTCAAGTGGGTTAAATGCTTTTGCACCGCTTTAATGGCGTTGGAGTTTTCATGTCAGCGGCGTATTGCGCATTAATTCCAGCCATTTGGCGGCATAGTGTGCTTTATATGACTTTGAGGCACAGCAAACTAAAACACCTATGAGGAATTTGTTTGCTGCCCTACAGCTGCGGAGTGAAGCACCAGGCTCCGCGCAGCTCAGAGGCTGTGCAGGGACCCAGGAAGGCAGGCTCCACCAAAGGGGGGTGGGGGGGAAAGTGGTGAGCCTGATCTTTTTAAAAAACCACCACTTCAATTTAGGGCGAAACCCCTGTTTCATCTACACACGCTCTAAAATAAAAATTCTACCTCAGCTGATTACTTGGGAACTAAAATAGAATATATTTTCCCTTTTGGCAACAGCCAGATATCAAACTTCCCATCAGAGGTGGCTGTTTAGCCAGCTACTCTAAATGCTATTTTAAAAGAAATCAAGTATTGATGAACAAGCGCCTTTGTGGACTATTATGTT